TTTCTTTCTTTCTTTCTTTCTTTCTTTCTTTCTTTCTTTCTTTCTTTTTTCTTTCTTTCTTTCTTTCTTTTTCTTTCTTCTTTCTTTCTTAAAGTAAAGAGAGGGGCATTTAGCTGCTAAACTGAAGACTGATGTTCAGATAGCATCTGAAGTTTGGGGGGAGGAGAGGTTGTACTATTTCCTAGGGTAAAAAATGTTAGAACTCACAGAGAAATGGGATGGACAGAGGTGGGAGAGAGAGGAAATCAGGGGTAACAGAATTGTGCTTATTTAAATAAACCGTTGCAATACATCCATGAATAACAACAAGCACTTGGCTCATTCACAAATGGCTAACTGCTCAAAGCCAGTTCCACTCTCTTCTGTGCCCCGCTGGGGAAGCAGAACGGTAAGCACATACACACAGGAAACTGTGGAAGAACAAACTTTGTTAATAAAAAAAAAAAGGGAGTTTGTATTCTTTGTGGATAAATATAAGTATTATGTTCAAGGTAATAGTTTAATAGAATGAATGCTATCAGCAGGCGGAAGAATTACAAGCCCTCCGGAGGCGTTTGAACTTTTTCCTGAAACAGGAAATCGTCTGTAGGTGTTAAGCTTGGGAGAAGTAGAACCTCATTTCTGTTTAATATTGCTGTAAAAGTAATATACATATATATAGAATATCAGGCATTAATTAATGTGAACACAACCAAATTACCCATTTCTCCTGCCCCAAATCACCACATTGAACACCTTCGTGAACCCTTCGGTTGTCACCTGACCTAACTCTTTCACCACGTAGCTTTCAGGCCATATGCCAGCCAGCTCCCTCAGATGTCCACAAAGTGCTGCTGACAGGGGGGTTGTGTAAACCAAGATCAGACCGAGTCCCAGCTAGCTTCTGCCTATTGTGCCCTTCTGAGTCTTTTTAACCTAGCCCAGAGCTTTCTTGTTGTTGTTGTTTCATTAGGGAGATTGCCTTTAAGAATAGACAGTCGTTCCTCAGACTGTCCCTTTTCCCAGACGTGACTAGATGACTCGCTCACAGCTCTGTCTGCTGTATTTCCTGTGAAGCGGTTTACGACGTTTGCCAGTGTGGTTCCATTACTGGTGCACTCTGTAAGGACTCGGTGTGTCTGTTCTCAATTTGTCAGTGCAGTTTCTTCCATTTTATTGTCTTACTCGTGTGTGTGTGTACGTGTATGTGTGTGTGTGTGTGTCTGTGTGTCTGTGTGTTATACCAGTGTAAGTAGATGTGTGTCCAGGATATACTAGAGCACTGTAACTGAGGTTACAGGTGACTGTGAGGTGCTATGTGAGTGCTGGGAAGCAAATCCAAGTCCTCCTCAAGAGCAGTAACTACTCTTAATCACTAATCCATTTCTCTAGCCACCAGCGTATTTCCCTTAATAAGTAACGAAACGTCCTCACCTAAAGACCACTATACTGAAGAAAAGCCCAGCCAACCAGCCCAAGCTCTTTACTTTTTTTATTATTATTATTGTTTATTATTATTAGTTACATTTTATTAACTCTGTATCCCAGCTGTATCCCGCTCCCTTATTCCCTACCAATCCCACCCTCCCTCCCCAGCTTCTCCCTGCCCCTTCCCAAGTCCACTGATTGGGGAGGACCTCCTCCCCTTTCGTCTGGCCCTGTTTTATCAGGTATCTTCAGGACTGGCTGCAAAGTCCTCCTCTATGGCCTAGCAGGACTGCTCCTCCCTTGGGGGGGGGGGTGGGAAGGTCAAAGAGCCTGCCATTGAGTTCCTGTCAGAGATAGTCCCTGTTCCCCTTACTATGGGAAACCAATTGGTTATTGAGCTACCATGAGCCTCATCTGAGCAAAGGTTCTAGGTTATATCCGTACATGGCATGGTCCTTGGTTGGAGAAACAGTTTCAGAAAAAAACCCTGTGCCCAGATATATTTGGTCCTTGTGGGGCTCCTATCCTTTCCCTGTCATACTAACTCCCCTTCTGCCGAAGGTTTGGTTATGTGTCTTAGTATCTGTTTTGAAATGCTGCTTGGTAGGGTCTTTAAGATGCCTTCTGCGGTAGACTCCTGTCATACATCCAATGCACATCTCATTTGTCTTTCTAAATGAGGATTGATCATCTTACCCTGTGTCTGCTTTCCTGTTTATCTTCTTTAGGTGTACAGACTTCATTATGTTTATCATATCTTGTAGGTCTATATAAGCGAGTATATACCATGTTTGTCTTTCTCCTTCTGGGATACTTCACTCAGAATGATCTTTTCTAGATCCCACCATTTGCTTGCAAATTTCATGATTTCCTCATTTTTGGTTGCTGAGTAGTATTCCATTGTATAAAAATACCACAATTTCTGTATCCATTCCTCCGTTGATGGACATCTGGGTTGTTTCCAGGTTTTGGCTATTACAAATAAAGCTGCTACAAACATGATTGAGCAAATGTCCTTTTTGTGTACTTGAGCAAATTTTGGGTATATACCTAGCAGTGGTATAGCTGGGTCTTGAGGAAGCGCTATTCCTAATTGTCTGAGAAAGCGCCAGATTGATTTCCAAAGGGGTTGTACCAGTTTACCTTCCCACCCAAGCTCTTTACTTTGATGCACAATAGGGAAGCTTTATAACTCCAATAGTCTTTTCCCATTTATTCACATTTTCTTTCTATCTCATTTTTACATTAAAAAAGTCATGACATACAAGTGTTCACATCTGTTTGTTTTGTGTTTTCAATTTTGTAAGAGTTATTTTTATCTATTTATGTGGATGTGTATGCACATCTCTGTGGCACATACAGATAGATGATAGATAGATAGATGATAGATAGATAGATAGATAGATAGATAGATAGATAGATGATAGATAGATAGATGATAGATGATAGATATATAGATAAATGATAGATAGGTAGATAGATAGATAGATAGATAGATAGATAGATAGATGATAGATAGATGATAGATATATAGATAGATGATAGATAGATAGATAGATATATAGATAGATAGATGATAGATAGATAGATAGATAGATAGATAGATAGATGATAGATAGATAGATAGATAGATAGATAGATAGATAGATAGATAGATGATGATAGATAGACAGATAGATGTATATATACAAAGGACCTGCTACAGGCCAGTACAGGTCCAGTACTTGCTGCTTCAGTCTCTAAGTTCGTATGAGCTTTGCTCACAGTGATTTAGAGGGCCTTGTTTACTTGGTGTCCTCCCTCTCCTCTGGCTGTGCAACTCTTTCCACCTCCTCTTTCAAGGAAAATAGAGGAAATTTCTAAGAATTGATTTCTTCAGTTATTTCAGGTAAGGTGTTCAGGAAAAACCTCTTTGAGGAGGAATAACTTGGTAGAGAGAGAGGCAGGCCTCAAAGCTCAGAGAAGCAGAACATTCTGAGAACAGGGAACGTCCTGGACAAAAGCGCTGGGACAGAATCCCAACAGCAAGGCTTCTGGGGCTAGAACAGAAAACAAGGTGAACGGTCAGGAAAGCTGCTAAGGTGGAAAGACCAAGAACATTTGAGTTTTACAGGCTGGGGAACCTGTTTATATCTTAGGAGCAGCAGAAATCTAGTGGACCATTTTGACATGAGAAATGGCATGACTCGTGCTTTGGGGGGTTTTGTTATGTTTGGGTTTTTGTTTTGGGGTTTTGTTGTTTGTTTTTGGTTTTGTTTCATTTTGTTTTTCAAGATAGAGTTTCTCTTTGTAGCCTTGGCTGTCCTGGATTCGTTTTGTAGACCAGGCTGGCCTCGAACTCACAGAGATCCACCTGCCTCTGCCTCCCCGAGTGGTGGGATTACAGGTGTGTGCCACTGTGACGGGCTGGCATGACACCTTATGGAGGGACACGGGACCAGAGTAGGGATGTGAGTGGAAAAGGAGGCTGCTGTAGCAGGATGAGGAGAGACAATGGGGACTGATACTATGGCATGGTGCTAGTGGGAAAGGGATGGGAGACAGTCAGATCTACTCACCGAAGCAAAACCGAACATCTGTGTACCACTCCTCCGGGTATTCCGCGCAGTAAATCAGGTAGTAGGCTTGAAGGACTCCATTCCCTATGCAGAAGGCAACCGCCCTCAAAAAGATCAGTGCTGGAAAAGGCCTCCCTTTGGTGAGCAAAGAGTAAATAAATGTCCTAGGATGTAAGAAGAAAGTGATTACGGAAGAAGGAAAGAAAGGAAGGGGAGGGATGGGAATCCAAAGAGAGGTCAAACCACAAAATAGTCTGGGCAGATAACCACATTAAATTCATTGTTGCAGGTACTTTCCCATCCGTTAATTTCAGCCCAGCCAAAAAAGTGTTTGAGGTGCAAGCATGAGGATCTATGTTTGTCATTGTTGTTGTTGTCCCTTGTCCCCTACCTCAACCCCATCCTGTCCCAAACCCTGTCTGTCACCACGTCCCACCACGTCACCCACCACTACCACTGCTGTTTTCTTAAAACCCGCCATGATGGCATGTACTCATAAACCTAGCACAGGGGCACAAAGACATGCATTAGATGGATAGTTGCTATCTGGTCCTGGATAATTTTTGCTGAGCTATTTTTTGTTTTGTTTTGCTGTTTTGGGTTTTGGTCTTTTGTTATTGTTTTGGATTTTTGGTTGGTTGATTGTTTGGCTTTGTTTTGGTTTTGGTTTTGGTTTTGGTTTGGTTTTTGTCTTATTTTGTTAAAAGTGCATAGAAACTAGCATTTGGTGCCTCATTTTATTTACACAACAGCTACCATCCCCAGTCAGCATTTGATGAGGACAGAAGGAAGACTAGAAGAATTATCACCCCCAATAAAAAACTAAAGGAAACATTGGCTCCACGATAATTTCCGAATCAATGCTTTCTTGGAATTTTGGATATTAACTAAGACCTTGCAGCATTCTGCAGCACTCCAAGAAAGAAAAGGCTGAATTGCATGGAAGGCAACAAACCCCCGTGACATCATCTTGCTCTAGCTAGGCCCGTTTACCATGCTCTTGCTCTTTGCAACCTTAAAACCAATAGCTCGTGTTCCACGTGCTGGTGAGAGTAGGAGGCTATGGCTCTTTCACAGCCTCCTTCCCTAAGAAAAGCCTTTATTCCACCTGTTTAGTGGCTCCTTGCAGAGCTCTGCTCAAGAGGTTTGTCTATATTACACCTGACATGGTGCTGAACAATGCCTTTCAGTGTTCCGATAGCTTGGTACCCTGGGGTGATGACAAGAGGGATAAAGGTAAACCATATGAAAGTTTAAAGGGAAAGCTAGGGAATGAGATGGTCAGAGGAGTTTTGTAACACTCAGATGTACTCCTGGGCAACGTTGTATTTGGAGATATCAATATGAATGGGGCGCTCCAAAAAACCAGTACTCTCTGGAGTCTAGGGGTAACAGTGTGCCAACAGCAACAGGCAACCAGGTCTTCACCCATTAGCACCACTCCCCTGAGGGAGCCAGGGCATCATAAAGAAATGGCTAATCAAACACCAGAGGCAAGGAGCGCACAGAGTATGTCAGGGATGTTTGGTTGTGTTGGAAAGTAAGGGAACAATTGAAGATGAAAGGGAGGTAGGATGTTGCCCAAATTATGGATCCCAACTGCTCCACTAGCCATGCATGTGAGAAGCAGGGTATGGAAGAGAATAATGGCTGTAGCTGATTGTGAATATTGGATAAATTTCCATGAGTCCATACTGATCCATTAAAAATATTAAGACCTTTGTCACCAGAGGTGACTATTGCATCAGACCCTTAATTAATGACCAAAAGGTTTTTTTCTCAATAAGACAGCAACAAGGAAATGCTACAATTACAAAAGCTATCATTTGAGGGACCCCAAAATCACCAGACTGAGTCATCGCTCCACGACTTTTTTAAAAGAGCTGCTAAGGGCAAAAGAGTAAAAGAATCATTTTGGGCAGGATCGTGAGTGAGGTCACTGCCTGTTTTCCCTTCTTTTGTTGTAGGGGCCTCACACAAGAAAGCAAGTCAGCCCCAGCTATTTCTTCCCTTGCTCTTAGATTCAACCCTGGAGAAATCTACAAGACACCCTGCAGGGACAGGAAGCTATGACCTGGGAGATGAGGCAGGAGCCTCGGCACTCTCTGAGGCCAGCAGTTGTGTGATACAGCAAGGGACTTTTAAATGATGCTCTTGCTAACCTTTCTCCCCTTCCTTGAAAATAAGTCCTAGTGAACACTGCCACCAGTGTGGAGAACAGCTCAAGTCACCTAGGATCTTCGCAGGAATTCCAGAGGCCCACTAGAATGGCAGTAATGAAAATAGACACCCCCTAACTGGCCAGCCGCAGGCACCCATTCTCCCAACCCACCAAATCCCCACTGCTAGCATGTTGCAGCCTGTAGTCTACCCTCCCCAGAGCTGCACACCAGCCTGGTCCCTGGATGAGAACAGCACTGGGGACAATGTTTTGTGATGCTTGTGGCTCTCACCTGGAGTCTCATGTCTCCTGTGTCTTAGGTCCACAGGAGGACACTGACCCAGGCTTGTCTTTTATCCCTAGCCTAGCTAACATGACAAACACATTCCTCAGGAGAAATGACTCTAGAACAAGATAATTAGACACCTGAGAGACACAACCACTAAAGAAATAACCAACCAATGATAGAACACACAAACATCTTGAGTAAATAATGAACAATGTGTACTGGGTAACATGGAATTACCACAACAGAACAACTTCAAATAATCCCCAAAGGATCCTTGGATAAATGTCTTCTTCAAGGCAGGAAATGCCAATTAAAAGGGAACTGCATGATAATACAAGATATGAAAACTATACTAGCTAAAGAGCGCAATACATGCTACTAGACTCAAGTTGTTATGCGGAGAGTAAGCGGAGCACATTTCGCATTTAATTCATTCTGTGGGTCTGTCTGTCTGTCTGTGTATGATGTGGGAGCAGAGTAGGTGCATGGCACAATAATACATGGAGGTTAGAAGACTTCAGTTGTAGGATCAGTTTCCTCTTTCCACCTCTTCCTGGATTCTAAGATCCAGTCGGGTCTTCCGGCTTTTGTAGCTACTGCTTTTGCCATCACCTCTCTATCCCAGTGGTTGGCAACCTTCATAATGCAGGGAAGGATCTGCCAGTGGCCTGGGTACATGACCCTACCCTGTGGTCCTACTCCTACCCTGATAAAAGCACCAAAAGGAGTTACATGTTGCCCAGCATTTGCTTACACCACGCCTGAGATTGTTTATCCAAGCAGAAGGGAACAATAGAAGGTCCCTTCATGTTCCTGTGCATTCTCCTTGGAAAGAACACTGGTCTCAACGAAGAGGCCTTGAGTTTGAGCAATAGTTCTCTTAAGCTCCTGTGTGACCTTGAGGAGGTCACCTCCCTTCTCCTAGAAAATATCAATGTCATCATGAGGCTTTGAGTGGCAAAAGCCCTAGAGCAGTGACTCTCAAGCTTCTTGATCCTGTGACTCTTTAATACAGTTCTTTATGTTGTGGTGTCCAAACCATAAAATTATTTTTGTTGCCACTTCATGACTGCAGTTTTGCTGCTGTTTTGAATTGTAATGTAAATACCTGATATGCAGGATCTCTGATATGTGAGCTCCGAGAAAGGGTCATTGAAACCCCCACAGGAGTCCTGACCCACAGGTTTGAGAACCACTGCTCTAGCCCATCAGTAACATTTTCATTTTTTCCCTGGCCCCAGAAATGTAGAGGAAGAGATGACAATGATATTCAACACTTTTGTTCAGAAAGACGAGCAGGTGAGTCTTGGTTACAGAGTTAGGGATACAATGTGTATTCAGTGACATACTTAGCCCATGCTGGGTCAGGCCAAAGAGATGGAATGATGGGTTTTTTAGAGGCAAACTATTCAGATCAGATTCCTGTAATTTTACACATGGAGAAGCAAGAGCCCAAAACGGTTAAATGATGTACCCATAACTATAGATCCAACTGATGGGATAACAGCAGGACCTAGGTTTTCTGGGTCTGAGGAGTTGCCTCAGTTACTAAGGGCTTGGCACACAAGCGTGAAGCTTGGGTTCGGTTCTCCGGCACCACATGAGATCCAGGAGCAAGAGCTCACATCTGCAGCCTTGTGCTGTGGCCTTGGAGACAGAAAGATCCCTGGTGATCACTGGCCAGGGTTTCTAGCCAAATCGATGAGCTCCAGTGAGAGACCCTCACTCATAAAACAAGGTGAGAGGGCTGGAAAGATGGCTCAGTGGTTAAGAGCACTTGTGCTTGCAGAAGACCTGAGTTCGATTCCCAGCACCCTCAGCCATCCATAACTCCAGTTCCAGGGGATCCAGTGCTCTCTTCTGATCTCCATGGACACTGGGTACATGCATGGTACGTGGATAAGCATGCAAGCAAAACAACTCATATATATATATATACACATATATATGTATGTATATATATATATATATATATACATATATAAAACATGAAAAATAATAAGGTGATGAGAAATCGAAGAACCAAACTTTGGCTCCCATGTGCACGCACATACACTATATACACATAAAATAAAGTCCAATTAAATTAAACAGATCTAGGTCTTTTGCTTGGTTCTGTTACTACACTAAACTTGTTGATTACCCCCGAATTGAACAAAGCAATATATATAAACACATATATGAATATATATATGTGAATATATATATGAATATATATATGTGTATATATATATATCAGACAGACATGTCTGGAGTTGAATCTCGTGTGATGGAAACCACATCCTCAGGTTCATATGTTGATAGTGTTTTAGAGATGGGACTAAGGGATGTAATTAATCTACTCATGGGTTAGCAGACTACTGAAGAAGTGATTCTGTTGTAAAAAGCAGCCCTTTCCGATACGCGTGTCCTGCCTGGCCCTGTGATGCCTCTCTGCTGTATCATAATGCAGAAAAGAGGCCCTCACGTCATCCTTCTCCAAAATGCCACCAACATATGATCCTGAGGAGTGCAGTTTCCAACACACGATACAGATCATGCTCTTGACTTTTCCAGGCCCTAGCACTGTAGTCTAAAGAAACCTCTATCTTTTACACATGACTGGATCTGTTATAGCAACAGAAAAAGAACTAAGACAACTTGACTTTGTAAGTTTCATGTTCACGTGCACATGCACACTCACACACAACCACACCATTCATCCAACCATTTGC